CGCCTCCATCCCCGCCGCACAATGACCCCGCGTGGTTCCTTCTCCCTGGAGCAACTCCGACTTTCCAGCCCCGGCCTTCTTCTCCTGCTGAGATATCTTTTGTTTTACATTCCCCCCCCACCCCCCGAACGCTGGGTTTTCTCTTGCCCGCCGCGATGGCCCCTCCGGAGCCCCGCTTGCCGGGCTCACGCCGGTGCAGCCTCCGCAGAGCCGCGGGGTGGGCTGTTGTCTCCGCCAGTGCCTGTAGCTTCTCCTCTTCCCGGGGGGGCCGCTGCCTCTGGATTATTCCCCCCCCACCCCCGGCCAGGCGAGGAGGGGGAGAGCCACCCCCCACGTTCGAGGCGGGGGGAGGGCTGTGGCTGCACTTCCCCCCGCTTCGCTCCCCTGACCGGGACGCAGCCTGATGCCTGTTCTTTGGTTTTCACCTTGCCAGGCTTTAACCAGGAGAGATCTGCGGGCAACTCCACCATGTCGGATAGCGACCTCGGGGAGGACGACAGCGCCACATCCCCGGACCCCTCGCAGTCCAACAAGAGGAAGAGAAGGGGCAATCTCCCCAAGGAGTCCGTAAAGATCCTCCGGGACTGGCTGTACGAGCACCGCTTCAATGCCTACCCCTCTGAGCAGGAGAAGCTCAGCCTCTCGGGGCAGACCAGCCTCTCTGTGCTGCAGGTAGGAGCTAGTCCCCCTCACGCTGGGGACGTCGCTGGGTCTGCTGCTGCAGTGCTTGGGATGGGCCAGACCAGGAGAACCCCACTGAAGATCCCAAAGGACTTGGCACGTTGGAACCACTTACCTCTGAAGGGCAGCGAGGAGGCGAGGGAGGGAACAGCAGGGAAGCAAAGTTGCTTTTTGGGAGAGGTCTGAGCCCCGGGGACTAGTTTTATGGTAGTGCTGGAGCAGACCTTTTTGGCCGGCCAGAAGATGGAGGGAGTGGGATGGGGAAAAACTAAGCAATACCCTATTGTTAGTAAAAGCCACCACTGATAGAAGGCTTTTGGGGGTTGCTGCTTTATCCTGTTCCCCTGAACACACACCACCACCACCACCACCATCACCACCATCACCATCACCATCACCATCACCACCACCCCCCCCGCCCCCAGCACGCAGAGCTGGGTGAGGGACAGCTATCTTAGGAGAGAGAGGCTGGGCTGGGCTTTGACCCCAGGTGGGCCATTAGCAGCACTAAGTACTGGCTGGTCCACCTGGCCCCAGTTACCCCAGTTGCATTAAGAGGAGCCCAGCCCAGCTGAGGGCTCCTGTGTAGGAGGCCCCTTGTTCCAGTCCTGGTTGTGGGCTGGTGTTTTCTGTGTGGCACTGTGATGGGTGCCCTGGTGAGCAGCTGGGGTGAGCAGCTGGGGTGAGCAGTGCTTTTGCTTCCAGCTTTGGCTTTCACCCTGCCTGCTGTTAGGGTGGCAGGGAGAACCTGCCTGCAGCTGCCTGCCCCTTTGATCCACATGAAGGCCAGCAGCCTCCAGGCAGGGGGACCCCTGTGTGCCCAGGGCCCCATCCCCCCTTTCCCAGCCTGGCAGGGTGGGAGATGGATGGGGGCTTTGCTCTGTTCTCTGGTTCTGGGGGTACAGTGGGGCAGGAAACAGCTCTTGTGTGTAAGGGAGCAGGCAAGGGCTAGTGGGTTTGCAGCTGAGCTCCTCTCCTTGGGGCTGCTTCTGCACCTCTGGCTCCTTTCCCTGCAGCTCAGCATGGTCCTGGCCAGCCATCCTGGCCACAGCCCAGACACTGGTGTGTGGGCAGTGGCTGTCTGGTTTCCTTCTTCCTGGCCGGCAAGGCAAACTTTCTTTTTCATTTTAATGTGTTTCTTTAAATGCTGGCTGTGCAAAAGATTTGTGTCTGGGCAGCTGCTCCGAGGGGAGGCTGGTGGTCCTGGGAGGGCTTGAGTCAGAGTGCTGGGGGAAGCAGTGTTGGGTTTGGGGCTGTGGTGGTCTGGGCTTGTGCCAGACCAGGGTTGGCATGGTGGTGCCTGGCACGTGGGGGTTAACCCCAGGGCTTGTGGCAGTGGGACCGGCAGGTGCCTGGCTGCCTGTACCCTGAGCTCTTTGGGAGGTTGCTGGCAGGCTTGTGTCGAGGTGTGGCCTTGCTATGTGCCAGCCATTGTCTGCCCCGTGGGACCCCCTGCAGCCCCCGGGTGCCTGGTGAGGAGACTGCCCCTATACCCCCCCAGGCAGGGGGTCCTAGCCTGGTGGCATTTCCCAGGGCCAGCTGAGGGCTGTCACAGGGATTTCTGTCAGTCTGAGGTGACGCAACAGGATGCTGTGGGGGCTGCTTCATCTGATGAGAAGCCTGTTGGGGTGGAGGTGTGGGACACCCTATGGCAAGGCTGGAGTGGCTGCAGGGTTTGATCCATCAGTGCTGATCTGACCCCTCCAGAAGCCTCTTGAGCACAGGGCTCTGCTGCAGCCACTGGCCAGACACCTCCCCAGTTGTTTATTTGTGCATCCAGCAGCCTGGGGAGCTGGAGCCAGGCACCAGTGGCCAGGGATCAGGAGCGCAGCAATCTCGGGTCTTCAGAGAGACTGGGAACCCATGTGTCTCCCTTGCAGAAAGTTGGGAGGTAAGAAAGCAGTGCCTGTGCCTGGCGAGGCTTCCTGGACAACGGCAGGTTTCCAAGCCCTTGCCCTCCTGTGAGGATGGGCTTTTCCTCCCTGCAGAGGGGATGCCTCTTCTGTGGCAGTGGTGGGGACAGATGCTGCCCAAAGTGACGGTCTGGTGTGTGCTGGTGGTGGGGCCAAGCAATGGCCATGTTTTGAAAAAGAAAAAAAAAAAAAAAGCTGCTTGCTTCAAAGCCAAGGCATATCCCAGTTCCCTGGGTAGGTGACGCCGTGCAGTCCACTGGTGGTTGTGCGTGTGTTCTCCAGAGGGAGTTGAATGCTGGAAAAAGCATGGCAGGGAGGACCGGCAGGATTTCAGGGGACTTCTCAGCACTGCAGAGTTTGTTGGGCTTTTTGTTGGGAGTCCAGCCCTCTGGTGGTTGATGGCCATGGGGTCGCAAGATCACATCAAGGGGACCTGGTTAAGGCTTGCAAGGGAGGGTGTTTCGAAGGGAAAAGGGGGTGAGACTGGTGCGTTTGAGGGTGTTAAATGCCAAATATTGTCTTGAAGACAAAAAAAGGACAACTGAGATCTTGCTGTGATCAAAGTTGTGGTAAGTTTTTTCTCCCTGTGGGAAATATTTTACATAGCTGTTGATTTAGGAAAGATCAGTCTTTTTTTTTTTTTTTCCTGATTTATTCTCTTCTAATTGTTTTCTAGGAAGAAGGTAGTTATTTTAATGTAGCGTCTTATATAAATGTGCTGAAACAATACATGGCTGAGACTGAATACATGGCTGCTGTGATTCTGAAGGGCTTCCAGAGGTGTAGCTGCAGAGCTCTGCCTCTTTAGTGTGCAGATGTTTGGAAGAGCCTTTAAAGTTAGCTGTAACCTCACTTGTTGGCAGGAGGCATGGGAAGGTGTCGATGTACTGCTGCAATCCCTGCCACCCCATTAGGGGATGGGGAGCTGCAGCTCTGCGAGCTGATGGTTTTTAGGGTTTTCCATCCATGCTGCTGTCCTGCCGTCTGTCTGCTCTGGGCAGCCTCAGTGCTCCTGTCCAGGGTGCCAGCATGTTGGCACTGGCATCAGCGTGCCCAAATGTGGTGGGGCACGCCGACCCCTGGGGTGGGTTACCTGGAGAAGGGAAAACTCCCCCCAGACCAGGGACCTGCTGGAGGTTGTTGGGCTCCGAGCTGGCTCTGTGCAATGCCACAGCCTCTGGTTAGGGGGAATGGCAGGAGCCCCCAGGAGGGTGCTGGGAGCTGCACCCTGCTTCACCTGCATGTGGCTGGGCACGGTCAGTTGCTGGGACTTCGGGCTGCGGCGGGGGACAGCGCTGAGCACATCCTTCCCTGGGGAGTGGGCAGCTCTGCTTGAGAGCCGCTGCAGCTCCAGCAGTTCTATGCAGCCTTGCTCTGGCTTGCAGAGCAGCTCAGCCCCAAAGCTACCCAGGCTCCGTTTGTTCAGTGTGCTGGTGTGGTGAGCGGGTGCCGGCAGTGCCGTAGGGGGCTGGCACCCATGCGCAGTCCCCGGCAGGGTGGGCTGGCAGGGCTGAGAGGGAGCGTTGGACTGTGGGCAGCTGGGACAGGAGTGTAGGGAGGAAGGGGCCCCCCCCGGCAGGTGGTGCTAGGCAGGAAGCAGCCAGCATTGGGGTTTCCGTGGGTGGCTGGGCAACCCCTGGCAGGAGTAGCTCTGCCTCTCCAGAGCCCCATGGGAAGGAGGTGTGGGACTGGAGGGGGGAGATCTATGGTAGCTGGGGTGTGCGTGAGCTGCTTGCCTGCGTCCAGGGGAGGACTCTGCTGGCTTGGCTTTGGGCTGCTGCCCCCCAGCCAGTGCTGTGCATGCGTGGCAGCCCCCAGCTGACAGCACTGTGCCCCTCTTTCCTCCCAGATCTGCAACTGGTTCATCAACGCCAGGAGGCGGCTGCTCCCCGACATGCTGCGTAAGGATGGGAAGGACCCCAACCAGTTCACCATTTCCCGCCGGGGTGGCAAAGCTGGTGATGTGGCTCTGCCGCGGGGGGCTGCTGCTGGTTCTGGGGTGCTGGTGGTACCTCCTGTGACAGCCACGGGGGCCTCCAAGGTGCTGTCGATGTCTGTATGCCCGCAGGTACTGTGCCACCCTGCCCAGGCACTGGGCAGCAACCTGACGGTGGTGAGTGCCCACAGTCCTGAGTGGGAGAAGCCCCCTGTCCCACAGCGAGCGGAGCCAGACCCTGCCCCCAAAGCACCGCTAGGTGCCACCGGCAGCACCATGACCTTGCTGGCCCGGGCTGAGGCGGCCAGCCCCACCAGTGGACTCTTCAACACACCACCCCCCACGCCCCCCGAGCTCTTCGGCGACGACTTCAGCAGCTTCCAGCTGCTGGTGGAGGTGGCGTTGCAGAAGGCGGCCGAGCTGGAGTCGCAGCGGCAGGGCGGGCAGCTGCCCCTCTCACCCCAGACTGAGCCTCCGGGAGCCTCCGTCTCCAAATAACCCCCGGGCCAGCTCCCGCAGGGTGCCCTTCCTCGGGGGGTGCCTGACCCTCCTGGCCACCCATCTGCCTGCACCCCCCAACCAACTAATCTCAGGAGCGGACTCCTGCCTTCCAGGGGGCTCTGGTTTCTCTGTCAGCCAAGGGGGGAGAGGTGGGGAGATGCCCCCCCCGCCTGCTGCCCTTGCCACTGAGGACTGTGCCCCGGCTACATGGGAGGATGTGGCCACTGCAGTCTGGCCACTGTGAAAAGACCTTTGCAGCTTTACTGACCTCACCCTGCTGTGACTGATGGTTACTGTGGAGCTCCCCTTGGAAAACCTGCTGACTTCTTTTTCTCTCTCCTGCAAACAAGGGTCCAGCCAACACCGTTTCTTCAGGGAGAGAGAGAGAGAATTTATTTTTTTTAAAGTTGGTGTCTGTTTTAAGGACTATGGATGAAAAGCTCTTTCTCCCAAATCTCTGCTCTCTTTCCCCACGCCCCTTCCCCCTCCCCCCCCCCTTTTGTTTGTGAAGGGCCTTTCTGGTACCTTGTGCTGGCCAGGAGCCCTGCCTTGCCCAGGGAAGGGCAAAGGACAGATGAACTGGAAACCTGAAGTCTGTGGCATTTTTTCGCATGGAAAACATGGGACTCCTTTTCTGATTTAGGGTGTTACGGATGCTGCCAGTAGAAATCCCTATGGTGCTGTTTAGCAATTTTTTGTTGAAACATTTTCCTTTTAATTGTGATTTATTATACGATTTTTTTTTTTTCTTCTATAAGCATTTCCACAACTTGCCCGTGTTTCTCTTGAGTTACTGCTGACTATGTGCACACTGTGTCCCGGAACAGAAAGTGCATTGCGGATCCTGTGAGATGCTGACAGCAGGCTGCTGCTGGGGGTGGATGCAAAGCTGAGACTGTGAAATTTTGTACCTGACTTCTTTTTTTTCTTTTTTTTCTTTTTTTTTTTAATTTGGAAAGAGGCGTGTTGCTGGTATGGGCATGTGTGTTCTTCTGCAAGTGCAGTGCTCACAGCCTGCAGACCATGGTTCCTGGAAAGCAGAGTTGTCTCATCAGCCAAGTGCTGATGAACTGCCCTGCGAATGTGGAGGGATGGAGTCTTATTGCTCTGCCATCCCCTCCCTCCTGCTCTTGCTCTCCAGGGCTGAGCGTGGCTGTGCCTGGCTGTGTGGTGCTGGTGACCTCTAGTGACAAGCTGGTGTCTGCTAGGAGCTGGCTGGACCCCCCCTAGCCTGGCTTGGTGGTGGTTTTCAGGCTCCGAGGCAGTTCCTGGCTGGGCATCACTTGCTTTCACTGAGTGGGATCCTGGGTGCTGCGCTGGTCCTGGGACTGAGATATTGCTGTTTCACTGTAAAATGTAAGTTAAATAGCGATATGTATGCACCTATGTTATCTATCCTGAGAAACACTAATCCTAGGTAATTAGCCTGATTGTTAAGTTGCATGACTAGAGATAATAATGTCCACAGGATCCAGTGCTCTGCAGTGGTTGGAGCCAGCCGTGCTAGGGGACGATGGGGCCTGGAAGGGAAAAGCACTGATTTTGGGGACTGGTGTTTCCTCCCCTCCCCCACCTTTTCTTCAGAGAGAAGGTGACAGGAGAGAGGAGTTTGTGAGTACTAATGGGGGCTGCAGGAAGGCTTGCCAATAATGTGTTGCGTTGGCTGGGTGCCCCTGTGCAGCACAGTGATGACTCCAGCTCTGGCACTACCCGGCTTCAGGTGGATGCTCATCATGTGGCCGTGAACATCCCCTTCCTCATCTCCCCTGGCTCCATTTTATGTCCAGCCTTTGTCTTCTGCCTCCTTTCTGGGGAAAGCCCTGAATTTTAGGACTCCCTCCCTTATTTCTAGGTAGCCCTTCCCCCATCACCTCCCTGCAGTTCTGTTTCCTTCCCCAGGGGAGGGAGAGGCTTTTTAGTCTCCTCCCCTTATGTTGCCCCAGTCAAACCAAAGTGGTTTCCTCCCCCAGGGTAGGAGTGCTACAGCTGTGCCTGTGCCATGGACTGGTGTTGCTGCCCTGGGGATGGACTAGAAAGAGTGGGGAGGGCAGGGATTATTGGAATGAAATTTATGGAGCAAAAAACTACTGTAAATATCTTCTTGTTTGTTCTTCTGTTGTCAAATAAAAGTTTTTTAGTTGTTTTTTTTTTTTTTTTAAATGAGCTCTGTGTGAGACTGGACTATGTCATTTGTGGGTGGCTCACTTGCTCCTCCCTCACTACCAGCCCCCACCTCCTGACACTGGGCCAAAGCAGCTTAAGAGGTCTGAGGAACATTGCTGGGGCTGGAAAAAGCTGGACCAGTGCTTGGCATGGGCCTGCACCTACCCCACCATCGTTTGGTCTGATGTTATGTGCTCACTTCCCACAGTGTTTGATCCTGGGGTCTGGGAGCCAGAAATCGCTTGGCAGCAGCAAGAGGGCTGATGTGTTTGTGTCTTCCCTCTTCCTGGCCAGCACTGGGAAAGTGAGAGGGCATCAGTGCTAGCCCCTTGGCAAAGGGAAAAATAGAAACAATTGTGGTGGGGTTCCACTGCACACAGTTTCCTGGGTCAGGAACCCTGTCAGGTAGCCAGGGGTCTTGCAGAGCTGTTCCTGGGGCAGCAGCCCCACCTGCCTTGCTTTGCCACAGAGGGCAGGGTCATGGACCCAAAGGCTGCTGCACTGCTGGCATGGATGCTGGCAGTAAGGCTGGGCTCAGGGCTGCTGTGCCTGCTCCTGTGCTGCCCCGGGGGCTCAGTCAGCCTCTTGCACACACTAGGAGTGTGCGCTCTGATATTTCATCTGCTGGCATCTTTCATGCACACCAGCTCAGGGCTGCAGTCTCTTGATGCCCTGCCTGCCTTGGATACCTGCTCTCTACTGTAGTAGGGGCTGGAGTGGGTGCTAACACTAGTTCAAGCCCTTTGCAGCCCCCTTGACCCTGGCTTCCTGTGGTGTAGGGCAACCCCAGGGGCTCTGCACCCACTGCACCCCAGCACTGGGCAGGGGCTGTGGAACAATGGAGGCACTTAATCAATGCAGCTCTAGGGAAACCCCTTGGCACCTCTGGTGACAAAAATAGCAACAGGGTGTCCCCCACCCTGTATGGGCTGCTGGCGCTTTGTGCTCATGGTGAGGAATGTGGGCTGGGGCCAGAACTCAGCAAGGGACTGCCAGCCCAACTTGGGGGTGGTGGTCAGCACAGCAACAGGGGATCATGGCTGGGTAAAACACAGCCCGTGCCCCCCAGCTCTGCCTGCCCCTCCTGTGGTCTCAGATAGCACCTCAGGGTTCCTGAGTTGCACAGAGGTGCCTTTGTCCTGGCCAGGCCCTGGGGACCCCCCAGGCAGGTCGGGCAGAGCCTCAGGGACCTGCACTTGCCTCCATGGGGGAAGGGGCCCAGCAGGGCTCAGGCACCCCTGCCACAGGGTGATGGGCAGACATTTCCCACAGGCACAAGGAGAGCACTGCAGGGGAGACAGCCAGCATCCTCATCCTCTAGCACAGTGCTGAGCATGGCTACCCAGGGTGAGGGACGGCTCTGCCCCTGCCCCCCAGGTGCCACCTCCCAGGGCAGCAGCTGGGACTTGTGCTTCCAGGAGGGGTCCTGCTGGCTGACCACCACCTGCCCTGTCCCAGCCCTGCAGCCCACCACCCCACCCCATGCTCTGCCCTGGGCGCCCTGGGCATGCTCAAACATTGCATTGAGTGCAGAAAAGCCTCATTAATATGATGCTTTCATACTTCTCATGCCATAGCCACCACTACCCCAAAACACCCACATGGGGTTAAGGCTTTGGGAGACCCTCCCTGGCAGCTACATCTTCCATTGCTGGGGCAAAGAGGCAATGCAGGGTATCATGCTACACCCCAAAACAGCACAACCAGAAGGTAAAGTTACGCATCATGAGGTTCTCCAAGCCCCCAGGGATGTGTAGGTCAGCAGTAGCACAAACTGTCCCCCTTGTGCTTCCTGCTGTGCGCCTCTTACCTGGATAACGCAGGGAGATGCTCCCCTGGCACTGCTTCTCGGGGCATGCACTAGCCTGGCTCCACGCTCCCTCTGATTTCAGTGCTGCCTGGGATGCTGGACTTGTGCTAAGTGTCACGGGAGTCCTGCAGTCAGCCAGCACAGCAGGCAGCTGTTCTCAGAGAGGCCCAGTAGAAGGCCATCTGGTATGGCAGTGGCAGTGGCTCTCATTCAGCTGGGGAGACCCCACCTGCTGCAGCCCTCAGGCCAGGATACAAATGTCCCACAAAGACCCAGCATGGGTACCAGGGGTTTTCTGCCTGGCCAGGGCCTGCCCCAGTGCTGCCCAGGCCACAGGGTGGGCTCAGCCCCTCCTATCTGAGGACAACTCTGGGGGCCCGAGGCATGAGGCACCCACCCCAGCCCTCCCAGCTGCCGCCCCGCCCTCACACCCACTGCCCAGGGACTGCAGGGGTGGGACTGACACGTGCCCCGCCTACAGCTTCTGCCAGAAGACCCACTCCCTCCCACCAGCCTCAGCAGCCATTTGCCCCAGAAGTTGCATGGTCTGTTGTGATTGGCTGGCAGGAACAGCCAGCCCCCGCCCCCCAGGTTACCCGGAAGTACATTTGATACAGAACGCCCACCCCCATGTACACTGGGGGCAGCCATTTTGTTTCACCCACCATTTTATGGCAGGGGGGGGCCATTTTGTAAATGTCATACAGCTCTGTGATTGGCTGACAGCCGTTTCTTGACTCTATCATGCCCACACGTTCTCGGCAGCCCCGTGATTGGCTGCCCACTTCCTCTGGCCCCAGAAGTGCTCAGATAGAAATATACATCAATTTTTATACAATGTACGTATATATATAATTATTTATATAAAGGTGTGTATAAATACATATTTTTCAGATATATATTCTCTATTTGTGTATGTGTATATATTTTAATACATATATGCCCATTTATAAAGCTGTAGAGATTAAATATATATTAGCCATAAACCTACAGGTATAAAATAGATAAAATGTAAAGGAAGGGCCCTCTGTTCTGATGTACTTCCAGGTAAACCACAGGGGTGGTGGGGGTGTCCTGCCAGCCAATCACCACCAGCCACATCACTGGAACAGGGTCTGACTTCCTGGGCAAGCAGCCTCTGAGGCTGCAGGAGGGGGTGGGACTTCCACCAGAAGCACCTGTCCCCAACCTGCCCCACCCACCCCTCAGCCCTCCACCCTGTTTGCCATCTTGCTGGAGTCCCCCACAGCTGAAGGTCAACACTGCTCCACAGAACAGCTCTGAGCACACTCAAAAGACAGCCCATTCCAAACCAGTCACAGATACCACTTCTGAGAAAAAAAAAGAGCAAGAGAGACCACAGGCAGCTATAAATTCAGACTGCATTTGTTTATTTATTGTTTTGTGGTTTGTTTTTTTTTTTTAACGGTAAGTCAGCCAGCTGTCCTTGCTGCTCTAAGTTCTTCTCCTCCAAGGTGGCAGGAAACAAAATGAGAGTCAGGCAGGCACACACACTCGCCTCTGCTATCCAGCCTCAACCCTGAGACCTGTGCACACAGAACAGCCCACATCAATGCCCTGCTGCACCTCTCCTGGCTGCAGCCCACAAAGCACACCCTTAGGGCCCAGCCCAACCAACCAAGGATGAAGAGTGATCTCAGCCCAGGTGATTGAAGAAGATCATTTAACAACTCAGTGAGATGGGCTGCTGCCCACAGACTGCCAGCCCCAGAAGAAGCAGCTTTCCAGGCCAGCTCCCCAGCAGCAGCCTCAGCCACTTTTGGAAGAGTAAATTTAAAAAAAAAAAAAAAAATTTTTAAAAATCACCGTTCCCTGATGTTCCCAGTTTCAATGCTAGACATCTCTAAAACTGCATCTTTACAATCCTTCCCCAAAACCTGACAGCGCAACCCAACAACTCAGTGTCTCAAGACTAATGCTGAATGAGTTACATTATGGCCAATTGTTGATGGGAATCTAATTCCATGTCTGAGATTTATGGTAGGTGCACAGAAATATTTAAGGGGACCTATGTATGGACAACACTGGACAGTATACAATAGCCATTCAGACGGCATTCAGGATTTCACTTTTATTTATTTTTTGCCTTCTGGATCACCAGCACCCTTGCTGAAACTTCTCTGGGATTCTACCCCCACCCCCATGAAAGTAGCACACAATCACCCAACTCATTCAAGCAAGTAAAGAAAAAAAAAAAATCCCCAGCAAGATCACTCAAAGATGGGGCCAAATGCTTAGTTTGAAGGGGTGGCAAAGAATTCGATGGTGGCAGTTCTGGCTTCAAGAAGCCAGACTGAAAAGGAGACCTACAAAGGGGAAAATAGGCTAAAAATATTTAGCAAACCTTCCTCTACCCAGAGAGCAGGGAGATAAGGAAAAAATAGTCATCTGATTACACACAGGGTATATATTTTTACACACACTTTTACACACATCTAGATATAGTACATGTAAAAATATATGCTATACATATGCCCATTCTCGCTTTTAGTACACCATCTGCACTGTGCATATGGGCATGTATACGTGTGTAAGAATTAAATGTACAGGTACTACTAAGTGTATATGTGCATATGTACACATACATACAGGCAGGCAGCCTACCCACCAGCTACCTGTGCCTTCCTCTTTGTACAAAACGCAGTCCTCCCACCTTGAAATACCATTACACTCTCCCCAGCCCTCCCCCCTCCACTTTGAAACAGGTCCCCCAGTGTAGCAGCTTCTTTCTCAACAAGCAATTCAAGGAAAATAATTTTGTAAAGGGAAGAGGAGAAAAATCAAAGTGAAGCATGTGTGGATCATGCCCATAGTTGCTCTGTGGTCCTTCAGCTCCCCTCCTGTGCCTGGAGTAGGGTACTGCTCTTTTGGGATAAGCCAGCCAAGTGCTGTCCCTTCCCCCTTTGCCAGCTTATTGCACATTGGTTCTGGGCTACATTTCAACAACTCTGCATTACATTCCACAGACCCTGTCATCCTCTCACTTCAATAAAACAGAGGAATACAAACCCATTGCCCTGTCCCTGCCCACCCATCCTCCCCCCACCCCAGTATCCCCATCCAAAGAAAAACAAAAAAACCCAAGAAAGGCTGCTTGCTAGCAGAGTGCAATAGTAGTACACACTGAAAGGGTGTTCTCTTCAGGACCTCTGTGGAAGAGAGGTTATTTCTAACACGGTAAACAAAGCCATGCAAAGGGTGGGAAAAAGGAAGCAGAAGGAGGAAAAAATAAAGGATGAAAAGGAAGAACAGAACTGAGGAGGAAGAACACAGCATGGCAAGTGCTCAAGGCTTCATGTTTTCTTGTCCTCTTCTTGTAAACAAGCTAGTAATTCTCATTAGATAGAACAAGTAAAAAGACTGAAGTTCCAAGTTGAGGGACTGGAGTTTCCAGGAGTCTGTTCAGTCCATTCAGCAACACCACAGCCAGTGAGAAAACGGGGGGTTTTTTTTTTTTTTTTTGTTTTTTTTTTTTTTTTTTTTTTTTAAAATCTTCATTACTTAAAGCTGAGAGAAAAAAAGCCAACTCAGGAGCCCTTTTCAAGGATGGCTCATTGTCTCTAGACTGAATAAATCACACTAGTTTAGAGAGAACTTTTTTTTTTTCTTTTTCCTTTTTAATGACTTATAAAAACCACACGGTTCCTTCCTCTGCCCCTTTGCTCAAAGGCGGGTCTGTGCCTCAGGTACGTAGATCTCAATGCTATCTGCACTCTCTGTGGCTGAGTTCTGCCGGACAGAGGCAGCCCGCTTGGCTGCCATAAGACGCTTGCGAGCTTCCTGGCGCTGCTTGTCTGAATCAGAGGCTTTGTCCCGGTTCAGTTGAGATTTGGACTTGGCTGGCTTCTTTGGCACTGGAGGGGGTGGTTTCTTCTCTTCCTTTAGGGAGACAGTAAGGAAAAACCCAAACATAAAATAAAAATGCACATACAGAAGCCTGCTCTCTGATATGGCGGGGACTCTTATGGCATGAGGCACTAAGCAATGAGATCGAGTGTCAGGGGAAAGAAGCAGGAGCAGTTCTTGAGAAAGACACTCATCAAAATCAGCTTCCCCAATTTCTAGAAATGTGCCATTTTGCATTTCATCATAGAGGCCCTCTGTGAAGGGGACTAGAGTTTGCAGACTATGGCTCAGCTACAGGTGAGAACACAGCACAGGCATGAAGACTGAATTTGAGTTGAAACTGCAAAATTTTAATATGCCACCCTGCCCAGAGCCATAGTCCTACCCTCATGTCTAGTCAGGCAGCCTGGCCCAGGGACACAGCCTGTGCTGCATTTTCAAAAGGTTCCAGTAGGTGTTTTTTATACTACTAAGACACCAGGAATAGTTATAGCCTATTCATACAATGCTTGTAACACTAGAGGCCTCTGTATCACTACTTCAAGCATATACCACCACTCATCGCTCTGGTCTCTCACCATCGTTAATACTTCTTCCCCTTGTACAAAACTGTTTCCACTATTACTCAAGAGAAATGGTCTCAGTGCCTTGCAAGGCTGTGAGATTACACTGCACAAGTGCAAGATGGTAAAAGCCCTGGAGGTGTTCTGTTTGCAGACAGAAATAGACCTCAGATACCTGAAATGTCTGAGGTGTGCTCAGGCTGCTCTCAACTGCCCCACACTCACCTTTCTCTCCGGTGTCTCTGCCAATTGCCAGCTATTAGCTTTCAGGTGATACAGCTCATCAAACTTCATGCTGATGTCTTCAATAGACAACTGCAGGAGATCCCAAAACCCAGCTAGGTCCTGGGCTGTGGGTCTGGGATTGGCATTAGGGTTCTAGAAGGGAAAGCATAAAAAACCCCAACCTTTCAGAAAGAATACATCCTCTTGACAAGCAGAGCAGTCTGCACAGCCTCCATATTCACCCCTTGTAAGTCCACCTGTCTGACAACTGAAATGTCCAGAACCCACAGGAGACACCAGCCCTAAATATGCAGACACACAATGCCATCATTCATAGTCAAAACTATTTCTGCAAAGATCAGGAAGCAGATCCTGACTGTCTTTCTCCTACAGAACCCTGAAGAAGAATCCTGAAAAAGACACTCTCTGGAGCAGAAAGCAATAGCTCCCATTCTCCCCAAAGCTTCCCCAGCTAGCGCTAATCCCACAGCAGTAACCTCCAACTGAAGGTCCCCAGCACATGGTTCAGAGCTAGAACACTGGTTTCTTACACAGAGATCCTGATTTCAGGGTGGGTGATAATGGAAATGGACGCCACACTATGCAAAGCACAGCTCTGGCACCTGGAGAACTTGCATGCCAGTGTACAGCAATCCAAAGAAGTCAATATAGCTTTCACAAGCAAAATTACTTTGCTACATCCCCCCCAAAACAATCTGAAAGTATCAATATTTCTCAGGCTAGGTTGAAAAATTTTAAGTAGCTTAAGTTTCTTCCAGGAACAGAATTTTCCCAGTTCTGAGACATCTGAACTGCCATCATAGGCCTGGATTATCTCAGGAAAGCATGGGATTGGATGTGAGCAACTCAGCACAAAGCATCCAAGGGAGACCTCAGCACAAAGCTCTGTTGAAAGCCTGGCAGCTAGTGGTGTTGCTGCTAATCTCTCAACTGTGGTAAACCAGAGATCAGCAAGCAGATGTTCAGCACTTCCCCTTCTCCTCCTTCCCAAATTTCTCTAAGGGTTTTTTTGCAAGTGAAGGGGGAATTCACCTCTGAGGAAGTCTGCAAAATCCACACCATGATAAAGTTTGAGGGGAAAAACAAAACACAGATTCCCATCCATCCCCATGTTAGCCCTGTTCAGCAATCAGCAAGGGCACACCCTTGCATTACATTTGAAGAGATCCGATTCAAACAGTGCTTTGTGACCAATGAGGGACAATCCTGTTGGGACAGTTTTACCATCCACATAATCTACGTGCAAAGCAAGCATGTTTGGAGAAGAATGGAAGACTTTTTGAACATTCCGCCCTATTTGGCAAAACCTCAGTGGTTCACCTCAAAAAGCCCTTTAGAAGTGACAAGAAAGAGGTAGTTTCCCAGACACACAGCAGTATGGCTAGTTGACAATTCAGACCCACAGAGAGACTCAGCATATTCCGCATACCCTGATCAGCAGTTCAAGAAAAATTCCCATGCTCATGTAAGCACCAAAAGGAATTCCAAGCACTCATCCCTGAGAGAGGCTGAGGTGATCAGCCTTCCACTGCTCAACTGCCATTTTAAATCAGTGTTCATTACATCGTGGCATTGTAGTCAGGTTGTACGCTACAGCTGCATTGGCTTTGTTTTTACAGTGACAGTAGCCTGTTAATACCTGATGAAGTTCCTGTAGTGCTGTTGAAACAGATACATCCCCCTCTCAAAAACCAGGAGAAATAGATCCAGACTCACCAAGTTTTGTTCACAGAGGCCATGGAATTGCTGGAACTTCTGTGACATTAGTAACTGTGCACTGCCCACTGCACTCAGGACTTTTCCTAAGACTATTGGGAAGAGAAAAAAAAAAAAGAAAAAAGACCTCAGTTGAACAGACTATTAAACACAGCAATGAACTGGAATGTTTCTGGAGCAAAGAAACACTCTTGATTCATTAGAAAAGGAGTTTCAGAGATCCCCAAGGAACTAATTGCTCTCAGGGAAAGAAGATGTATTGAAACTAATCTACATCTGTCTTTGCCATCTATTATTGCTGCTTCTAGAGCAGGTCAAAAGCAGGCAAGACCAAGAACATTACATCAGAGTTGACAGAAAATGCCTTGAACTGCCTTCAGCCCATCAGACAAGTCACCAGCACAATCTCAGTGAGCCCATCTGCTAGCACCTGCTTGCAGATCACAACCTGCTTTTCCACTCATGCACAATGTGACAGTAGCAAGGGGCAGGAGAACTGTCTCCAACCTCCATTTACCAGAAGGGATTAAAATACTGGCAGGCTAGGGCTTTTAATACCCAGGACTTTATGCTGCTCTTAGTGGGTTTTCCAAGTAGTCTCTGGGCATGGCAACATTCCTCTGCTCATTAATGGAAGAACACTGTATGGGCTTTTGCCTTCCAAAGGCATGGTTGAGAGACCCACAGTGCCTGCAACTGCACCATGAACAGGGATGAACTGATTTCCCTTCTCCTCCAGGTCTGCTGCTGCACCTACTGATCAGTTCTGCATGTTTATAGATCTTGGTGGAACAAGCGTAAGCTGGGGCCTCTCTGTACCCACCAAGTTCCCGGTTACAGAATCTTCTAGGAGATTGCTCTTAGAGGTCACAGATAATATGCCACACTGGTCTTGGTATCTTTTTTTGCCAGAGCACTGTTGCCACAGGCAAAACAAGGGCAATCCCCGAGGTAGGGAGAGCCCTGGCATGGCCTGTCCAGCTTGGCAGCCAGTGCAGCATTTTAGTGCAACAGGATTAGTGATTAGCTCCCCCAAGCCCTAGGCAGGGACAGTGAGCTATAACTGAGTCTCACCATTATTTCACCTTTCTCAGATATTAAAAAATCAACCAGACTCAAACCAAAGATCCTGCCCTCTGCAGCCTAGTCAACCACTTCTGTCACTCTATATGCACCACAGGCACGATTTTCACTGCAAGAAGCACAGGTTTTGCCAACTCCTTTGAAAATAATGGAACAAGTCCAATTGGGACTGAACCCAATAAAATTAAGTGACCTTGTGTTCCCTGTGCATGTGCCTTTGGCTTATTTAGCACAAATTCAGTGAAGCTTTCCCATATAAAGAAACTTCCTCTTTGCTGTGAAGACAAGTCCACTGATTCAACAGATCAAACAAGCTCCAAAGTCATGTTCATTCTGCCCCACTGCCAACTAAACTTTCACCTGCCTGCTTGAGTACAATGGGTTAGGCAGGGAGAAAGATCCCACAGCCTCCCTGAAAGCAATCCATTTAAGCTTTTAGCAGTTTCAAATGGTTAGAAGCTGCACCATGCCCTGCAAGTCTTACATGCTACATCACAGTATTATTTCTTACCCTGGTTAGGGTAAGGAGTTACCTTATCCTTTCCAAAGAAAAAATGTTCCTTGCCCCATACTCATCTCCATGTTCTGTCTCTGTGTGCTATCAGCAATTTAACTGCAGAAAGCTGATCCCATACTCAGTTACAACTCTTTCTCAAGAGAGGAGCTGCTAGGCTGCTCCAGTCTAGTATCCAGAGGCTGACAACACCTACCTTCTTCAGAGAGATTGTTCTCTTTGGTCTCCTGGTCCATCTGGCGGCACCAGCCTTCTAAACGCTCTGTTTCTGCCTGCAGCAGCTTCAGAAACCAGTACCCATCCCGCCGGCAGGCTCCTGTCTGTGTGGGTTCTGATGGTGAGGTGGAGGACATCTCAAGCCAGGGGTCAGGAGGAGGGAGAGAGGAAGGCTCCAGGGCTGGGTCATTGTTTTCTCCATAGGAGAGGTTTCTCTTAATCTGTGAGGGCTTGGCTGGTTGCCTGGTGGTGGCATCAACACCAACGGAGTTGTTGTGTTGGGGGCACTCAGCAAGGCTTCTCTCAGATGATTTACAGCTAGAATTATTAGGTTCCTGTGTGTCAGAGTCTGTGTCCTGTTTGGAGGACATGCTGCGAGAGTGGCTGTTTCTAGAGAGATCAAAAGCAAACATTAAATAGCAGAACTCAACCTGGCTGGCCTCACACACTGACAAGTGAAATGCATTTGTTTATTATGCCTGCAGATGAGCCTCACCCTGCCCGCCCTGCCCCTCCTCACACACAAACACACACCACACAGACAGACAAAATTATAAGGTTGCCTGCTTACTGCAATAGGCCATTCAGACAAGAGGACTGACACACATCTATAATTACATCTTGTACTTTTTTTTTAATTTCAAACTCCCATTGATTTGGCTGTTTACAGAACAAGTGCTTTTTGCAGCGGGTGTGTGCTGTGGAGGAAGAGCTCTCTATGGGCCCCCATTCAACACCATTCATATTGGACCAAAGAAGGGGAGAAGGTCTAAGCGAAAGTGGGGGAAGTGCAATTTAAAAGAAAGGAAACTACAAAAGCTTGCATCTTTCACTTACCGCCACTCGTCCTCTACCTGTACCCCGATGGACTGGAATTTGGTGGCTGGTGGAGGAGGCTCCTCTTTTGCCACTGGCTGAAGGCAGTCAACCTTATTAAACAGGAAAAAAAAATACAGACAAAAACAGACACAAGAACTTGCTGCTGGAATTCACATTAGTAGACCAGGAGCACTGCACACACAAACAGCATGCTGACACCACATGCCAACTAGAGGGTTGTCTTAGGAGAGGCACAAGGCTACTGCTCAGGTCTGCCTCCACTTGAGCATCAAGATTGTATCCTGCCAGGCTGCTGCCAGGTATCTGGTCTAAGAGCACTCAGCTCTGCCATCCACTGCTGTCTGCACAGTTGTGGCGTGCTGGGGAAGGCTGTGTGTCCCTGAGGGAGCAGCTGTGTGCGTGTGGCAAAGGGCAAGAGATTCAAGAAAGGGCAGTGATCTGATTAAGATTGACAGCAAAGCCCAGCTTCCTCTCTCCCAGGAATTGACACCCTCCATAGCTAAAATAAGAGGGTTAGAAGGTTTTAGGAACAAAATCCAGACTGTGGGGTGGGTGGCTTGGGAACCAGCTCAGAAAAGGAAGAAGAGAGGAAGGCAGCCTCTCAAATGTGAGTTCTCTTGCCTTGCTGCCCTTTCAGCATGCGTTTTGCCCCACTAGCCCTGCAGAAAAGCCTTCACTATCACATGTACCTTACTGGCCAGCTAGCCTTACTGTAAAGCCAATGGAAAATTTACTCAGCACACACACGGTGGCTCAAAGCTCAGATCCTGCATTTGGACTTGCCCAAATGCTCAAGTTCTTATCTGCAGGTAATAGCCTGCAGCACTGAAGCAGGACTTTGGGACAGAACAAGTGCTTGCGGCAGTCAGCCATCTGTAACTGGGAAATCTGTCCACAAGAAGAATGTACAACTGCAGATGACTTAAGTTTTGCTGAATAAAGCATGGGTATACACTACTCAATGGGTTCTCATTTGACTATATAATCAAAAGCTCATTTACATCAATTTCCACAGAGTTAAATGCCTCTAGCAAGAGAAGCAGCAATCTGCTGGGAACAGCAGACAGCAGTGCTTACAGCCCTGGGACCATTTTGCACTGCAGCAGCCCATACTACATGGATGTCAAGTAGAAGGGCCCACCTCAGAAGAAAGCTGTCCCTAGAACCGTGATGGACAAGGAACAGATTGATGCTAAGTAATACAAAGTACAGAGCACAGGCTCAGCACAGGCATACTAGCAGCCAAAGGCCTCTTTAGAGGGACTCACCCAGTTAACATGGTCCCACTGCTTTATGAAACATTTTAATTTTGTACTAAAAGAACTTAGTCCTTTCTGGTCTGTTATGGAAAGCTTCTGCTGTATTTTACCCCTGGGAACACAGGAAGTTAGTTTGACAAGGCAGTTAGTTGCTCACTCACTTGCTATTCTAAGTGAGTTCACATGCCCACCTGGTCACACAAAATGCACATACTAAATGGATGGGTTAAGGACATTCCTTAAGACAAAGGAGAACAAACTATTCCATACTTGTATTCCTATAGATGACAGCTTTCTTTTGGGGATATTCTCCACTTTAGGCTCTTCGCTAGTCAGAGTCCCTTTGTCACTTTTCAAAGTTGCATTTTTCTGGGATAACTCTGGAGTCTCTCTTGCTGGAGTCACAACGCTTCCCCTTGTCACACTGGGTGTCCTGGTGCTGTCCAAGCTGTCCGAAGAATTGCTGAGTCCTGACTGGCTGGTGACCTCACTCTTGTGGTCCTGGCTGTCCAGGTATGTGTCCTGTGCCGATTCAGTGCTGCTCTGCACAGTGACAGAGATGAACGGCTTTGATGTGGTCCGAGGTGGGACAGGAGGTGGAGTCTTTTTATATGCCACTAGGCATGATGAACCTGCAGTAATGGAGGTGGGAAGAATGGAGAACGCAAAAGACAGATTGGAGAGAGAAAGATACAGTAAAAGAGAAAGAAAAAGCAGGTCAGTCACAACATCCAAGAGGAGCCTCCAGGTAGAAGCTGGAGGCAGAAATGCAGGAACAGCCTACAGCCAGCAGCTCACACTGGGTAACCCAAACCAAAGCATAAGGGGAAGCAGAAGGCAGAGCCAGAGCTAGCTTGCAAAAGAAGTCAAAAGGAATACCGTGACATGTGAAAGGCTGGAAATGGAGAAGAGGTATAGAAAAGCCTCCCAAGAATGCTACAGGGTTTGGCAGGTGTAAGCCTCCACGTTGGGGAAATTTTCTTTGGCTAAACCCTATGTTTTAGTGTCCTAGTACAGCCAAGTGTCTCAGCTCTTTGTCCCATCAGTTGACAAGTTTCAGTGTCTGGACCAGGCTGGTGTTTTTTCCTATAAAAATGGAAAGCCATAAAGTTTGTTAGATGCTGATGGTAGGAACAAACATTTGTGAAGTACCTTAAAAACCTAGCTGCTATGCATTAGAGGAAAATACATCATCTGGATGCAACAGCCCAAGAGTGGAGAGGCTGCTGCTGCTCCATGTCCCCAGATCCAACCAGTAGTGAGGCTGAAGATGTGTTCCCAGCAGGCACACAGAACACACATATCCACTAGATGTACATATATATGTGGCTGGCCACGCAGGTCACAGAAGAGCACCCACATGAACACAGACAGCAGCAATGGCCTCATCCTGCTCCCGTCTCTGGCTTGACAGGATGGAAGTCTATTAGTGAAAATACATGTACAAGGTGGATCCTGCAGGAGCTGCGCTGAGGCACTCAGTCTGCCCAGTTCCTGACCCCTGGACATACAAGCCCCTGAAGGCAAAGTCCTACTCCAGTTGCTGTCCAGACAGGACAGACTGCACTGGGCAGGGCATGACCAGACAAGTGCACTGACCAGCCACCTACCTACACACAACTGACCCCCTTACGCCTGTATTCCCCACTTCTGTTCCTCCCCAAATCACCAAAACCCCTTTCTTGTCCCACCTTTGGTTCCTCCCATAAATATCCCATTAAGTCCTGTCCAATCCCAAACTGCTTTTCCCCTGCACCCCATAATGTGTCCCAGCCCTTGGGAGCAATCTCCTTAATCTGAAAGGTGATCTGGGGAGGTGCTCCCCATGGCTTATGGTGATGGGTGTCATACCTGGACACCAGGGCTGAGGCTCTGCTGGGACAACCCCAAGAGGGGCCTGGACAGGGTGTTCAGTGCTCAGGTGTTCTTGGCTTGGGCTCCCACCTGCCATTGTGCATCCCTGCTTGTCCCTGCTCTGGGCTTGTGCAGATGGGCCTGTGATGGGCTGATGGCCTCCGGGATAGACCTGGGAGTAGTCCAGTAGGGTATGATTGAGGCTCCCCCTCCTACTATTGTCTCTGAGCCCCTTCATGGACATGCACAGGAGCTTTATCACATATAACACTGCCCTGCTCCAAGGCATGAGCAGAGAGGCTCACACCATCCTCTCTCCTTGTACAGCACTGCCCAGCCACCCATTTCACATCCTGGGAGGGCCACACTCCTGGAGGGGGAAACTTAGTGCTGCTGCCAGGTTCCTCCCAAGGGGCTTGTAGGTCTGTCTGGCTGTGGTGTGCCAAGCCCTGCAGTCCCACTCCCCTGGAAAGGAGCTGCAGGATCAGGGCTGCTGCAGTTTTCAGGGTAACCCTGTGCTGTGCAGGCAGCACCCGCAGGGATTACCCTTCTCTTGCCTTGGTGTCTCAGTGGTGGTGCACAGCTGTGCTTTGGTCCTGCAGGCTGGGTAGGAAGCTTTGCTGCTCCAGGCTGCAAGCATATCAGCTCCATCACCACTCTGCATCATGGAAGGCCAGGTCAGCCTGCCCAAGTACCTTACATATTAAAAGGAAACAGGTCCCTGCTCCTGGACTTGGTCAGTTAGCATGTTACTGAGGCATGTTTACAGGGCAGTCCCTTTCCCACATTGTCAATGACAAACCAAGCATCCCTGTGTAAGTCACTACTGTACAGTGGTGTGGGACGCTCCAGTGGTAGCAGGGCTGTCACTCTTCTTGGTTCCCTGCTCCAGCCCATAGTCCTTGGTCTCCAGCAAAGGGGTTCTGTCCTTTAAATTGAAACCCCATGCACCATCCTGTTCCATGCACACCTTTCCCCTAGCCCTTGACATGCAGATGTTGACAGATACCAGCACAGACCCGTATACCTCCCAGGTCACCCAATCAACACCACAGATGGGCTGTACAAACCCAAGCCCAGTTTCTAAGTGTTTTCCTAGTACAGCTCCAATGACTGCAGGGGCTGTCATTCCCTTGGGTTCCCTGCTCCAACCCATATTCCCTGATCTCAGTAAAGTTTTGCATCTCAAATTACAAGCTCCTACCTCTGACTGCACTGCCCAGTCCTATACATAACCTCCCCAAACAAAACCTGCTGACAGTGATAGATATATATGAAGATACAGACCATTTCCATTAAACAATACAGATAGACTGTTAACTTTACCATTTCTATTCCCAAAATAGCCACCAGTGTATTAGCAAATTTAGTAGTAGATTAGAGACCAGTCCTCTCTGTCAGGAATCCTTTGACTACTTGGGGACTGCAAGGGCAGGCAGAGGTACCTGCTGCTTCTGAGCATTACCTTTCACCCTCAAACTGCACTGCCTGCATGCCCTGGGGAGCTCACAACAGAACACTTGACACGTTTTGATCTTTCAGAACAATTGGACACAACCAATTCTGGCTCAGCCCATCAGAGGGTGCCTGCATAATTTTAGCACAATTAACTGAGAAGTATCAAATGAACCTGATGCAAATTGATTACAGGTATGGGAAGGGGTGTTTCAGGTGACATGAGCCTCCCAGCAGCTCCTTTTGCTCCCCAGACAGGAGCCTCTGCCTGCAGCAGAGGCTGACCACACTCACAGGGCATCCAGGAGCAGTGTCCCAGCTGCCTTGCAGTCTCCAATGGGGTCAGAGCCAGTCCTGAGCATCCCTGGGAGCCCAGCTATATTCCTTGTGGGGAGATTGCACACCTACACCATGTGCCTTATTGACAGTATTTACACATGCCTGTATTTACACATCCCAATATTTACCATATTAACAGTTAAAGTTCCACTTCAAAGAAGGAACTAAAAGGGAGTGGTTACAGAGAAGGAGGTCCATGTTTCTAAAAGCATTTATATGCCCAAAGATCCCAAGAAGCACTGTAACACTGCTGCTGCTACAGGACAACTAGGGAGCCTATGACAGGGTTGCCAACCAAGCTGCCTTTCAGCATGAATCTGGACAGGAGCAAAGGCACAAACCCTATACCAGTTCCCCCAGCCCCTCAGTACACCAAGTCCAGCACAAATTGAGCAGCATCCTGATGACCGTGAGAGCAGGACCTATCCTGACCGCTCACCCCAGCCCTTACACTACCTTCTGACACATGGTCCGCATGGCTGCAAGAGGGACTTGCAGTAGGGAACCACATAGCTGAAAAATAACCGGGATAGGCTACTATGTCTGGGGACTGGGTTATTTTTCACCTTGCTCAGTTCTCAGTGCTGGCACATACCATGTAAACTGCTTAGGGCAGCCTGAGCCCACAGCTGCCATGTCTCCAGTCAGGGACAGGAACTTACTATGCACTTTAAAACTCACCTACAATAACTTCCTAAAAGGTCAGATGCAAGTGCTTCAACTTGTCAAATTTACATGCCAAAAACACAGCTACACACATCCTTTAGCCAATACTTATTTGGTCATATAGACTGTGCAACTGCACTGCAAGTTCATCACTAACAGATGACTAAAAGGGCACTGGCATTCACCTCCTACCTGGCAGTGCCACTTCACCTTTCCCATGCAGAGTGGAAGCTCCTACACTCAGGACAGCAGCAGGACCTGCTGCAGATGCTCAAGCAGCACCAGCTCAGAAGTGTTTAGCATCTCCAAGCAAGTCAAGCTTGCCACTGGGATGCCTCTTTCAGAGCTACCAGATTAGATGGCACCACTTGTGCAAGCACAGGTTGAACTGCACCCCAGAGCTGACCTTTCCCCATAGATGTTGCTTTACAGGATCTAGTTCATTGTGCAAATGTACAAACTGCCAGCACAGTAGGAGGCATGGAGGTGCTAAAGCAACAGTTACTGCACGATCATTCCCTCTCCCCATATTCTCTGCTGGACATCCCCAAAAGCCTCCTTAGGTGTAGTGTAGATTTGGTCAAGTTAAAGCTTGCCTTGTTACAGGTGTTTACCTACTCTGCCCTTACAGCAGAAATCTTGACTACACATACCCAACACAGAGCACAGCATGCTAGACAGGTAAAGCATTCTTCACATGAGCACAGCTACAAGAGCTTTGCCCCATCACAGAAGACTCCCCTGGGTCTACAGCTGAACAGCCTCTTGGGCATGTGCTGAAATAACTCATCTGCCACCAACACCTGCTCATGCAGGACACTACCACTGAAGATGGATGAAAAAGTTCAACAGTAGACATGCACTAGAGAGCATGAGAACAGCTGAGGCCTTTGGCTGCTCAAGCCCTCATCACTGCCCTCCAGAGCAAAGTTGCACAGGCACACGCTGCCAGAGGTGCAGGAGGCCAGAGCCCTGCCAGCTGCAGAGGAGGAAGCCACTGAGCACCCCACAGATGAGGAGTGCCCACACAGTTGCTCTGCCAGGGCTGTCTGACCAGAGAGAACCATCTTAAATAGCTAGAACAATTTCTAGGCCAAGTCTTATGCCCCGTCTTGTACAGCCCATCCTAAGAGAGCAGTGTAGGAGCAGCCTGAACAGAGCAATTGCAGAAATACCCCTGGATAAGCTGTGGCTACACCACCAAAACACAGGCCACACATGCTGCCTTGCATTACCATACCGGGGGCTACAGCAAGGACAAGCAAGAGCCACCCAAATTGGCAGCAGAGAAAGCATGTCCGTATGGCCCTCCAATTAA